CCCTGGGGAGTCATGATGCTTTCTTTTGACCCTACTGGAAACCTATAAGTCTTCGCTGTTAGGTAAAAATTGCAGTTGTGGGCACCGTCGTTGTATGCACAGCATTCGGTGGGGCGCCCTATTGGGCTACCAAGCGTGTGAATGGGTAGGTATACCAAAATGGGCGCGGTGGGTACATGCGAACGCTGTCATGTGGGTCTTCGGGAGCGTCCTATGGGGCTACCAAGCGTGTGAAGGGGTAGCAATGCCAAAATGGGTACGGTGGGTGCTTGCGAACGCTGGCATGTGGGCCTTCGGTGGAGCTCCTTATGAGGCCACGAAGCGTGCGAGGGGTGTGCCAAAATGAGCGCGGTGGGCGCATGCGAGCGCTGGCATTTGGGCCTTCGATGGGGTTCCCTGTGGGGCCACGGAACTGTGATGGGCGTGCCGAAATGATGCGGTGGGCGCATGCGAGTGCTGGGATGTGGGCCTTCGGTGGAGCTCCTTATGAGGCCACGAAGCGTGTGAGGGGCGTGCCGAAATGGGTGCGGTGGGCGCATGCGAGCGCTGGGATGTGGGCCTTCGGTGGGGCTCGCTAGTGGGACCCGAAACGTCTGAGGGGTGTGCCAAAAGGGTGCGATGAGTGCATGCGAACGCTGGCAGGGCCTTCGGTGGAGTTCCCTATGGGGCGACGAAGCGCGTGAGGGGCGTGCCACAATGGGCGTGGTGGGCGCATGCGAACGCTGGCATTTGTGCCTTCGGTGGGCTCTGTATGGGGCTCCGACACTTGTGAGTGGCGTGCCAGAATGGGTGCGGCAGGCGCATGCGAACGCTTGCATTTGGGCCTTCGGTGGGGCTCCCTATGAGGCCACGAAACGTGTGAGGGGCGTGCCAAAAAGGGTGGGATGGGCGCATGCGATCGCCGGTATTTGGGCCTTCGGTGGGGCTCGGTATGGGGCCACGAAACGTGTGAAGGGTGTGCCCCAATGAGTGCGACTGGCACATGCGAGCGCTGGCATTTGGGCCTTCGGTGGGTCTTCCCATGGGGCCACGAAGCGTGTGAGGGGTGTGCCAGAATGGGTGCGGTAGGCCCATGCACGCGCTGGCATTTGGGCCTTCGGTGGGGCCCCCATATGGAGCCACGAAGCGTTTGATGGGTGTGCCAAAATGGGTGTGGTGGGCGCATGCGAGCGCTGGCATTTGGGCTTTCGGTGGGGCTCCCTATGGGGCTGCGAAGCGTTTGATGGGTGTGCCAAAATGAGCGCGGTGGGCGCATGCGAACGCTGGCATTTGGGCTTTCGGTGTGAGGTGGGCGCATACGAGCGCTGGCATTTTGGCCTTCGGTGGGGCTCCCTATGAGGCCACGACACGCGTGAGGGGTGGGCCAAAATGGTTAACTGGTTCGGGTGGCAGAGGCAGGGGTCGGATGAGGAAGGGGAGGGAGAAGGGGGAGGAGGAAGGAAGGAGAACGCTGGGCACTGCCCCCATCAAAACAAGGACCCAACACCACAGGATGGTTGGGAACACGATGGGGGGCCCAACTACGTTCCCCCCTCGGGAACCCCACACATCGCCTCTTGGGCCCCTCTTGGGGCGCTCTTGGGGCGCTCTTGGGCGCTCTTGGGGGCGTTTTGGGACTCTCTGGGGCCTCCCTTGGGGCCCTCAGGGGCCCTCTTGAAGATGTCTTGAGGGCTCCGAAGGCCATCGGAACCGAAAAGGCGAGATGGCAACCATCATTGAATGTCCTTAGGTTTTTGAAGGATGTTGGCCTCTTGGCGGCCTCACGGGGTGGAGCAGTTTTGGGGCCTTTCGGAACATCTTGGGAACCATATTGAGCCATCTGGGCTACCTTGAGCCATCTTGGAGATCATCTTGGGTTCTCTAAGGCCCTCCTAGAGCCGTCTTGGGTCATCTTGGACGCTCCCCCCCATCCAGGTCCAGAGGGGGGGTAGGGGGAGGGGTCAAGGCACCCCCTAGATAGCAAGCCGTCTAGCTCACTCCCACCCGCCCTGCCAACACATCAGTAACACTCGAGCCTCAGCATGTTCAGCGGTCGTCTTTGGATGGACAACTACTGGGAACCAAAACTGACTCCATGTGCGCGACGCTGGGGCGAGGTGCGCCACGCGTGCCAGGCGCGCCACGTGCGCCAGGCACCCCTGGGGCCCGAGCGTGCCAGGCACGCCTGGTGCGCCAGATGCGCCACGTGCTCCGCGTGCGCCAGGTGTGCCGCATATTCCAGCCGCGCCAGGTGCGCCACGTTCGGGGCACGTGCAGATTGTGTCAGGTGTGCCTGCGCACGTGACAGCACACATCGGGAAACATCTCGGCCCCCACTATCCTTGTCGAAAAGCAAGGCCCATCATTATGTCTGGTGGGCCTGCGCACAGCAGACCATACGCCACCACCCGCGCCGTCCCTGTCAAAAACTACAGCCGGAAATATGCTGACACCCCCGCCGTCCCTGTCTAAAACAATACAAAGTAGTCGCGGGCCTCACGAACATGACTCAAGACTTTGCCCCGAAGCTTACTTTATATTGCATCGGGTTGGCTGGGCATGCTCCAAGTGTGGAGGCAGAGTGCGTTTTGTATTGTCTCTTGATCGTGATGGTGTGGGGGAGGGGGTCGCATGGTGTCCTGCTGGTTCCTGGTTGGCTGCTGGTCGCCTGGAGGAGGTATTGTAGTGGGGAACAGTGATGAGCCCTTCCCCGAAGGGGAAAAGGGAGAGGTTGGAAGAGAAACCGCTCGAGACCACCTACGCCCAGAGGGCTGGTGGGATTCCGCCACCGTGCCAGCGCAGCGGTCTAGGTGGCAACTACCACAGAGAGACGCCATCGCCGCCCAGGGACCCGCAGGGTAGGGGGTGCTGCACGCAGCTGGGTGCGATGAGAGGGATGGGTGGGCCCTTCAGAAGACGACAGAAACCCCGCCAGATAGCACATGGCATTCTTCCACGTCTCAAATCGCCAAGGGACTTGGTGGCGGGTTGTTTTTTCTGTCAGGGCTGGTGTGGGGGCTGGGCGGCACTCATAATTCCTGGTTGGCGGCGGGTCGAGCGGGGGAGGGGGTGCTTTTCAATGAGGCGCGCCGACGAACTTGTCCCAGAAGGGAAGAATAGGTTTGAAGAACCAACTCCCTCAACCCCCTGGGATTTGCACCTCGAAGTTTCAAGCGACTGCGTTTATCATAGAGTCAACACGGATAGTAAGGATGAGCGACTTTCCAAGGTTACCCTTGCATCCTTCCCCTTAGGCCCATCCTTGGCATTTTCGCTGGCCGCCCCCCGCTCGAAAAGTGTCGACTTGGCCCTCCAAGGCCCGCACATCCTTATCGCGCGTCCTTCTTATACGCGTTGGCTGTATCTCGCATGGGTCGCGGCCAGCTTGCCCGCGTCGCTCGGCAGAGCGAGGCCTCCAGACTCCGTGGGGGACAGGCCGAGGGGGCCAACCTCAGACTCCAAGTCCAGCTGCCGAGCACCCCCTCGAAGGGCGGGACTCCGCCTGCTCATCCGTAATGATCGGTTGCGCTCCCAGAGGAGATTGAGAGGGGGCGGGCCTTCTCGGAGGACTGGAGGGCTTCTGAGAAGCCCCGCAGCCTTCTGAGAAGGCCTCCTCATTGCCCCCCCTCGCTCGCCGCCGATTCGAAGGTCGGGCCTTCTGCTCCTCCGCAGTGAGCTTGGCGCGCGCTGGCCCGAGCAGCGCAGTTGCCCCATTCGCCGTTTTCCCCCCCTCTTGCCCGACCGAGCGCAGCCGCCCAAGCCGGTCGAACCGGGGGCCGATGGGCACGCGGGGGCGATGTCTGTGGCCAAGGATCGATTTGGCGGCAAGCCCATGAGGGGAAGGTTGGATCCTGCGCGTGAAGGTTGGATCGATCAATGGTTCGAAAGCCAACAAAAAACATCGAGGATCTTTCCGTTCTCGATGGAAATTGCATACACGGACATGTTCGGACCCCTCCGCGGATTTCTTGGATCGGCGTTTGGGCCCCTTCTCTGGAAATGCAAAAGAAGCCGGGGACCGCACACAACGCTGCGGGCGAAGGTGGAAGAGAAAGAGAAAGGCATGGACACTTCGAGCCCCCCAACAAGAATCCCTGTGTCATGTTAGCACATGACACCCCCACCCCCAGCTGTGCGTTCGGGGGCCCTTCAGGGTGGAAGGGCGGCCCACCTGGGGATGAGGGTGGGATGTGCTAGCCTCACTACGGGAAACGGAGGTCCAGTAAATCGCTCTGGGAATTCACTGGCGCGCTCTGCGGCCCCCTCAAGAAATCCGCGCGGAGCTCCGAGAGTTTATGTTTATGCAGTTCTGGTTCCTCTGTTCGAGGTTCGAAGTTTGCCCGCGTCGTCGTCGGTTCTCGACTGTTTCCCAGCCTCGGGATGCGCTTCGGCAGCTGCGCCTCGCCGAGAGCGTTCCGGGTGTGCCCGGATTGTTCCGACCGGCCAGTGGAGAGCAGAGTTATGAACAACGACCTGGCGTCCGAGTGGAGGCCGGCCTTTTCAGAAGGTTCGACAGGCTCAGAAGGCTCAAGAGTCCGCGGGCCTTCTGAGAAGTTTTCGAAGCCGAAGACGCAGAAGTTTTCTCAGAAGGCGCGAGGGTTTCTGAGAAGCCCCGTCCCTTTCTGGGAAGGCCCCCATTCCCAGTGGAGGGGCGTCCCGGAACATGGAAAACACACATGGAGCCCGTATTTCCCTTAACCCGAAATTTGGCCTTGTAGGTAGTCAGGATTGATGAGGCATATCAGAGCAAACATATGTTCTCGCCAGTTTGGGCGGATCTGGAGGCCCAGTCGTTCACGTTTTTTGTTTGAAAAGTATTGGCGTCGTTCCGACGTGTGTGTATTTTTTCGGCGAAGACCGTCGAGGAACATCTTGGATCATCCTGCGAAAAAGCACGAAGCCGAACAATGCACGGGGAATGGGCGTCCGAGCAATGGCCAGACATCACCTAGTGGCTCTGGGGGGCCTGCGACGGAGGGGCGAGGTTTGAAGCTCGTGCTGTCTCCTTTTCCTCCGCGGAGGAACTCCTGGCCAAGTTCATGGGGAAGTTCGTCCGAGGCGCCACGGGTGACCAGATCTCGCTGCGGAACATGCTGTCAGGGGAGATTTCGCTCGGGCCCGGAGTCGTATTCGTGGAGGAGGCGCTGCAGAAGGCGCTCCTGGATGCCGGGGGGCCTGTGACCTGGGAGGTACGTGGCGCGGAGGCGGACGTCGTGCACATCCACGTGCCTTGGGCGCAGCTGTCGAAGCGGTCCATCAGAGTGAACATCGGCGAACTGAGAGTGCAGGCCATTAGGCAGGCAATGCCCTCGGCCACCCTCGGTTTTGCAGGTGGTCTTTCGGCGGCGAGCGGGGGGGGATTGAGAGAGGGCAGGCCTTCTGAGAAGGCGGCGGGACTTCTCAGGAACCCTCGATTTTCCGAGAAGCTTTCAGCGTCTTGGGGGCAGCTCTGTCCCTTTCCCCCCAGACTCGCCGCCGAGGCTTGGCCTCTCAAGGCTGGCAGCAAGAGTGGCACGGGGCCCCCCCGACATCCTCACCCCGTGGGTGCGCCGCGCCCTGGGGGGCGCGCCGCAGGAGGCAGCCCTTGTGGTGCCGAGGGCGCCACGGGCTGCCAGTTTGGGACGGCCGTGGGCGACCCCCTTGGCGGCAAGGATTTTTCCGCTCAGGACGGCTCCAAGATGGCCCAAGATGGTGTCCAAGACGGCCAAAATGGCCTCCAAGACGGCTAAGATGGCCCCGAGACGTCTCCAAAACGGGCCGACGTGCCCCCAGCATGGCCCGAGATTGCTTCAGGACCGCCCAAGACGGCCCAAGAGGCCTCCAGGACAGACCAAGAGCCCTCCAAGAAGACCTCCAGGAAGACCCGAAGAGGCCACGGGGCCAGTGCCCAACCCAGACACCCAGCGCTCCATTTTTTCGACGCGTGCATCCCCCGAGGTCAGGCGTCTGGACCACATCCCTAGGGCTTGTTTTTTCCTCCAGAATTATTTGTTGACGGTCCCGGCGTCCGTTGAGGGCCTCTGAGTGTCAAAAGGCACCGCCCGGGCCATGGGGTCAGTGCCCAAGGCACCAGAGGAGTAGTAGGAGGAGGAGGACGGAGGACGGAGGACGGAGGACGGAGGAGGAGGAGGAGGAGGAGGAGGAGGAGGAGGAGTAGGACCAGTGTAAATCCAAAACTCTTCAATAATGTTGAAGTGCACCCTCCCTCCAAGATCCCTCTTCATAGGCCCTACAGTGATTCATCATCACTAAGGGAAGTGCCCCGTTGGAAGACAACCGTTCGAAAATCCGGAGCTGCGCCAGAACACCACTCCTGGGATTTCAACGCTGCGCTGCGAAACACCGCTACTGTTGCGTCTTGACGATCCTGAATCGGGCCAGAACACAATTCTTGGGACTTCAACACCGCGAATCAACGTGATTTGTAAGCCGTTGCATTCCGACATCGTGCCAAAACACCATATCTGGGACGTTAGCCATGATAATCCTTGAATCTGCTGCAAAATCTCAAGACGAATGCGCGCGGCGTGAAGGCGAGAGCCACATATTGAAAAGGAGCCGCCCTCCATCCGTGAAAACCCTGGAACTCTCTAGAGACCAATGTGCGAGGCGCTGAGGCGAGAGCCACATTTTGAAAGCAGGCCGCCCTGCATCCTTGAAACTCTTGCAGGTTGTTTAAGACGAACGTGCGCGGCGCTGAGGCGAGAGCCACATTCTGACAACGGACCCCCTCTCCATCCATGAAACTCTTGCAATGTTTAAGACGACTGTTGGCGGCGCTAAAGCGACAGCCACATTTTGAAAGCGGCCTGCCCTCCATCCGTGAAGCTGTTTCAACATTCAAGCTTCATGACATAGATGGTGAAGAAGTCACCGTCGAAAATGCCTGGCCCGCCCTTTCGACCGGCCTCGGAGTGTGGCAGGGAGGAGTTGTTTATTAGGAAGAGGGGTGGAGGAGGAGGAGGAGGAGGCTGAGTTTTTATATAAGGAAGAGGGATGGGGGAGGATCAGGAGAAGGAGGAGGAGGGTCCAGGGCGGAGGAGGAGGAGGAGGAGGAGGAGGAGGAGGAGAGGGAGGGATGGGGAAGGACGCCCGGCCAGAGGTGACGCTGCACGACGCGGCAGACTTGGAGGTGGCGCTGCTCGGCGCGGCCGTGGAGGACGCGCCCATGGCCCCAGATCCTGCGGCCAGCCCAGGCGCGGCGGCAGCGCGTGCAGAGCCGGACGCGCCCCTACAGGGCTCATCCTTCGATTCGATTCGATTGGGTTTCGATGGGCCGATGAATTTCTGTCAGGGATCGTTTCTCGGGCTCGAGGCCCGAGGTTTTCGAACGTCTTCGTCGGTGCTCGGCGGCCTTCCAGCCTTGGAATGCTTGCCAGCAGCTCCGCCTCGCCGAGGGCTTTCCGGGTGTGCCTGGAGCATCCCGAACGGCCTCCGGAGACCCGAGCTATTATGCAAAAGTCGAATTCGGCGGTCTGCCCCCTCTCCAGGGCTCGCTTCGACTCCTCCGATTCGAGTCGATTTCGATGGCTTCCGATTCCGATTCGATTCGACTCCTGATTCCTATTCGGGATCCGATTTCGCAACGGAGGCCTTATTGGCTTGCTGGTTTCCGCCGATTCGACTTCTCCCGACTCGGCTGCCGGCTTCCGCCGATCCGATTCATGTCGATCGCCGATCCGACGCCGATTCGGTTCTGGGCTCCCTTTTGCCTCGAGGCTTCGGGGCACGGCAGCGCGCCAAGCTGCTGGCGGTAGCTGCCAAGAAGCGCACCAAGCTGGCGGCCATGCGGGGGAAGACGCGCCGGCTCACAGACAGCATCGCGTCCGGGCCACGGGTCACGGTGGTCGGCATCGCTTCCCCGATTCCTAGAGGAGGAGGAGGAGGAGGAGGAGGAGGAGGAGGAGGAGGAGGAGGAGGAGGAGGAGGAGGAGGAGGAGGAGGGGAGGAGGAGGGGGAGGAGGAGGAGGAGGAGGAGGAGGAGGAGGAGGAGGAGGAGGCGGAGGAGGAGGCGGATGAGGAGGAGGAGGAGGAGGAGGAGGGAGGAGGAGGAGGAGGAGGAGGAGGGGAGGAGGAGGAGGAGGAGGAGGAGGAGGAGGAGGAGGGGGGGGAGGAGGAGCAGGAGGAGGAGGAGGAGGAGGAGGAGGGGGAGGAGAGGAGGAGGAGGAGGAGGAGGAGGAGGAGGAGGAGGAGGAGGAGGAGGAGGAGGAGGAGGAGTGTAAACCCAAGACAGGTCCCAATCCAGAGGAGGAGGAGGAGGAGGAGGAGGAGGAGGAGGAGGAGGAGGAGGAGGAGGAGGAGGAGGGCCAGTGTAAGCCCAACCCAGATCCCCACCATCCCACCACCCCAGTGGGGGGCTATGCCCCTCGAGGCTCGAAGGAAGCATCCAGCATTTCCACCTGGCAGCTGGGAGGGTACGTCGGCCAGTGGGGCCCAGGCTTCGCTGGTGGGGCTGGGGACAGGGGTGTGGAATTCGGTGGAAGTCGCTGGCATCCACGGAGTGGGAGGGATAGGGGTGTGGAAGAGGAGGAGGAGAAGGAGGAGGAGGAGGAGGAGGAAGGAGGAGGAGGAGAGGAGGAGGAGGAGGAGGCGGAGGACCAGTGTAAACACAAGAGTCATCAACGATGTGGAAATAAAACCGCCCTCCACGCTCCCTCTTCATAGGCCCCTGCAAAGGTTCATTTCCATTCAGGGAACTACCTCGTTCGACAACAACCGTTTGAAAACCTTGAAGCATGCCAAAATTGTTGTTCTCGGGGTTCTAACGCCACGGATGAGCCTGACTGATGCGCCTTGACGATTCTGAGTCGCGCCAGAACGCCATTCCTGGGATTTCAACACAGCGAATCAACGTAACTGTTGCACCCGCATAACCCTGAATTCTTTCAAAGCGCAGTTTTTGGTACGTTGATGATCCGTGGAATTCTGGTAAATTTGGTCAGCGAATGCGCGCGGCGCTAAGGCGAGAGCCACATGTTGAAAAGGAACCGCCTTCAATCCGTGAAGCTCTTGCAACGGTTTAAAACGAATGCGCGCCGCGCTAAGGCGAGAGCCACATTTTGAAAAGCACCTGCCCTCCATCTGTGAAGCTGTAGTGAACTTGAAGCTTCAGAGTCATAAGTGGTGAGGAAAACTCAGGGGAAACGCCCTGATCGCCCTAAAAATTGACTTCGGGGTGCGACAGGGAGAAGTTATTCATAACGGAATGGAGGAGGAGAAGAACCAGTGTAAATCCAAGACTCATCAATGATGTTGAAACGCACCTTCCCTCCAAGATCCCTCTTCACAGGTCACTACCTGGAGTCATTTCCACTAAAGGAATTACCCCGCTTGGGGCCAACAGTGTGAACATGTTGTAATGCACCAAAAAACAAGATTTCGACGCCACGAGTTACCGGATTGCTACGTCTTTGCGATCCTGACTCGTGCCAGAACGCCATTCCTGGGACTTCAACACCACGAATCAACGGAATTGTCGCGCCCTGACAATCCTGATTCGTTTCAGAACACCATTTCTGCTACGTAAACCATGAAAGGCAGTGAAACTCTTGCATATGTTTCAAACGAATGTGAGCGGCGCGGAGGCGAGAGCCACATTTTGAAAAGCACCTGCCCTCAATCCGCGAAGCTCTTACACATTTTAACAACGAATGTGCGCGGCGCGAGGGCGAAAACCACATTTTGGAAACGACCCGCGCTCCATCCGTGAAGCTTTTGCAAGTTGTTGAAACGATATCGCCCGGCGCTAAGGCGAGAGCCACATTTTGAAAACGGTCCGCCCACAATCCGTGAAACTCCTGCAAATGGTTTAACCGATGAGCGGCGCTAAGGCGAGAGTCACATTTTGAAAACGGCCCGCCCTCTGAAACTCCTGCAAATGGTTTAACCGATGAGCGGCGCTAAGGCGAGAGTCACATTTTGAAAACGGCCCGCCCTCAATCCGTGAAGCTCTTGCAATTTGTTAAAACGAAACTGCGCGGCGATGAGGCGAGAGTCATATTTTGCAAACGACCCGCCCTCCATCCGCGAAGCTCTTGCAACTGTTTTCACGAATGCGCGCGACGCTAAGGCGAGAGCCATATTTTGAAAACCACCCGCCCTCCATCTGTGAAGTTGGTATCAGTGTGTAAACATCAAGGTCATGCGTGGTGATGAAGTCTCAGGCGAATCGCCCGGCCCGCCCTTTCGACCGGCCTTGGGGTGCGAGAGGGAGGAGTTATCGATACGGAAAAAGAATGGAAGAAGAAGAGGAGAAGGAGGAGGAGGATGCGGAGGAGGAGGAGGAGAGGAAAAGGGAGGGGAGGAGGAGGAGGAGGAGGAAGAAGAAGAAGACGAATATGAACTTACATTCCTATTAATAGTAATGAGACTAATCGTAATAATAACGATAATAATAGTGAACATATTCGTAATAGTGTAATAATACATATACGAATACTAATAAGAATAAGAATAATAATAATAACACTAATACTAATAGTAGTAGTCATATTGATGGAGGAGGAGGAGGAGGAGGAGGAGGTGGATGAGGCGGAGGGGGCGGAGGAGGCGGGGGAGGGAGGAGGGATCGGTTAAGCGATGCTCAGGTGGGCAACCTCCGCGTCTCGTTTTTCCTGCCCAGGTCGGCAAGATCGGCGGGCCCCAGCGGCGAGGCAGGCGAGGACGGCTTGGGGAGCACGGACGGCGAGCCGCCCGATGAGACTCAGGAGCCCATCGCTGAAGTGGAGGTCGCGGGTTTCTGTTTCTCGCCGTGCACGCCAGAGGGGCGCCCCACGATGGAGCTGCGGGAGGCGCATGGGTTGCTGGCGCCATGGGAGGACCGGTACGATCGAGATGGGTACGGAAACAAGGGATACGAAGGCCAACAGCAGTTCTTGTTCAATATGGACAGGATTGGCTGTTGGCGTCGCCACGGACGTTCTCCGTTCGATACATACGGCCGCCTGCGCAACAGCGGCCGCTGTCGATTCTGGACAGCCTTTGCGCTTGGGCATCGTACCCATTGGTTCCATATTTATGTCGGCCGTTCCAAGAGGAGGCACCAGTCTTGCCGTGCGGGTTGCAGGCCTGGGCCACGCGGAACCAGGTGCGGTTTGATCGCGGCAGCTTGCTGATGCGGCGGTGCGGGGAGCTCCAGCGCGTGGGCTCCATGCGGCGCGTGGTGATGCATGTGCGCCTTCTGGAGGGGTGCGCCCTGAGCCGCGGGGAGCTGCACGTGATGGATTGGGGCAGCAGCAAGTTCCTCGGAGCCTACCGCGCGGTCGAGGTCGGCAGCGCACCTTCGGCACCAGCCGCTGCCGCTGCCTGGCGCGAGGCCTGTGGTTTTGGCGACCCACGGGCCGATGTCACGCCAGGGCCGGGCGCCCCGTTGGCGTCTGCTGCGGGCTGTGGTGACAGCTCGCCCAGGCACCCCCAGTGGGCGGACGACGAGGATGAGCCAGACTTTTGGGCGGACCTGGAGACAGCCGAGTTGCGGGTGCTGCTGGCGCAGCTTGTTAATTTCAACCACTCCATCGCTCTCCTGCGACGATGGCAAGAGCGACAGCCCTGGCGCGAGGGCCAGGTGGACGGTTCCAGCATGTCACCCATGGGCGCGCCCGCCGCCCCTGGGCCGGAACCAGTATCCACCATGGGCGCTGCTACCGCGGAGGCGGCTGGCGAGGAAGAGGACGTGGACAAGCTTCTCAAAGAGAGCTGCAAGGGCCTCCTGTCGGAGGCGCAACACAGGGCCTCGGCCATGCAGACCACCTGCGTCGGGGCAGCCTCGCCACAGATCGAGGCAAAGGCCAGCACTCCCGAGGATGCAGGGCAGGCAGGCGAGGGGAGACATGCGGCTGCAGGCGTGTCCCCGATGCCGAGGCCGTCCACGTCTTGGATCTACCCTGAGGTCGGCTTCGGCGCCGCGGCGCGCCGTGCGATGCAAAAGGCGCAAAAGGCGGCCCCTGGCGCCGCAGCACGACGCGCTGCCCAGGCCCAGGGCTGGGACCTCGTCTTTGGTGGCTGGTTGCTGAAGCGTGGGAAGCTGCGGCCGCTGATGGATTCGTGGCAGGAGCGCTGGTGCGAGCTGAGGAAGTCTTCTGACTCCACAGATTCTGCGCTTGCGCTGTTGTACTACGCGCGGAGGGCAGGGGCTCTCGACGGGTCCTCGGCGCCAGAGGACCGCCAGTTCCGGGGCATGGTGGTTTTCCGCCCCGGGGACGGAACCAAGGTGCATACCTTCGAGCAGGCAGACGCCGACTCGGAGTCGGTACACGTGGCCCGGCGTGACTTCAGCAACGGTTTCGAGCTCCTTCCAGGGGATCCCGATCATGAGGGGCGCACGTTCTTCTCGGCGGCGAGCCCGGGGGGGAAATGAGACGGGGCGGGACTTCTCAGAAGTCTCGGAAGGCTTCGGGCCTTCTGAGAAGTCTTCTAAACGCCCCCTGAAGTCGCAGAACACTTCTCAGAAGGCGCGAGGGCTTCCGAGAAGCCCCGCCGCCTTCTGAGAAAGCCTGTCCCTTCTCGGACGCCCGCTGGCTTTTGGTTCATAGCTCGGCTCTCTGGCGGCCGTTCGGGACGATCTTGGCATCCCTGGAGCGCTCTCTGCGAGGCGCAGCCGCTGGAACGCATCCAGAGGGTGGAAAATCGCCGAGAGCTGACGCAAACGTTCGAACACCCCGAACATCGTGCCCGAAACTCCCGAATTGGAGGGCAAAGTCTACCTGCCTTTAAAAGACAAGTGTATCGGGCCCATGCCATGTACCATGTCCGCGTCTTGGCCACAAGCGTTTATAGACACATTGGCTGCCGTTATGTATATGGACACATTTGGGGTGGACGCGTCTACAGACAACGCGGCCGTTGCGTCTGGCGCAGTACAAGGTCGGAGAGATGGCAGACCTGTCTACGGCCTGCTCCTGCTCCAGAGCAGGTCCCACATGGCACTCCAACGACCGGGAGGGAGCTGGAAGGGCTGACGGGTGCGATGAATGGCACCTCCAGCGCGTCGTGCTGCCTCCCCTCGCCCTCGCCTCTGCCCTTCCCCCCCCCCACTACACCCCCAGCGTCCTCTCCTGCCCTGCTCTGCCTCCCTCGAGCTCCCCGTCGCACTCGTCAGCCCTTCCAGCTCCCTCGTCGTCCAGCTCCCGCATGGAGCTTCAGGCCACGCAAAGCGGGGGCAGTGGGGACGGGGAGCCGGTGGGCGTGGCCCTGGGCCAATGGGGGAGAGGACCACGGCCTGAGGGGCGGCAGAGGGCCACTGCCTGAGGGGGGGGGGGGGGGGCAGGCCACGATCGAACGATCCCACATGCCACCCCAGCTCCCGAACTCCCCCCCCCCTGGCGCGCCGCCGATCTTCTTCGCGACGGAGGACGCGTCCGTCGCGGCCGCCTGGACGTCCAAGATCGCCGCCGAGCTGCGGGCGATGGAGCAGGGCGCGGCGTCCGAGGCGCCAGTTGTCCAGTCCCTGGAGTCCTTCCTTGAAGATTTCCTTGGCGAGGATTGGGGGATTGCCAAAGGTGCCCCTGGCCCCGGGTGCCCCCAGCCTGGAGGCTCGAGGTGCTCAGGCGTTTTCGGACATTTTCGTCGGTGCTCGGCA